AAATGGATAAGAATTAGAATTTTAAATTTAACTGGAAAAGAAATAAAGTCAATCCCCCAAAATGAACGCACATCCATTCGAGTAATCTTTAACTTCGGTGTCTTATTAAGGCACTGTGCTAAATTCTGTGGAACAAGTGTTTATGAACAAGACTCATTTTTACCATCATGAAATTGAAGGCCAAAATGATACATAAGGCAGCTAAATAATAATTACAAGACAAAATGTGTCATTGCATAGAGAATATGAAAAAAAAAGTTTCAACTACACACGCGAACAAATTAAGGAGCTACAGAATTAATTTCTGACTGGTAATTTTTTTTTTTTTTAGAGAATGGGTCTCACTCTTCTTCCAAGGCTAGCGTGCACTGGCCTAATCATAGCTTACTGTGACCTCAAACTCCTGGGCTCGAGCAATCCTCCCACCTCAGCCTCCCAAGTAGCTGAGATTACGGGTACATGCCACGATGCTAGGTTAATTTTTTTGTAGAGACAGGGTCTTGCCAAGGCTGGTCTCGAATTCCTGGCCTAAAGTGATCCTCCCACCTTGGCGTTCCAAAGTGCTGGGATTACAGGTGTGAGACACTGCACCCAGCCTCTGATTGGCATTATAAAAGAATATTTCAAGAATGATATAACATTTGATCTTGATCTTGAATGATGGTTAGGATTTCAACAGGTAGAGATTAAGGAAGGAGGAAAGAAGAGTTAAGGTAAAGGGCATGATTCCAGATGGAAGCAAACAGCATTAGCCAAGGAATAGAAAATGGCATAAAGTTGGAATAGTGAGTTGTTCAGGAAAGCTATAAAGTAGGGTACATTTACAAGAGTGTTGAGAATCAGGAGAGGGTAATGTCACAGAGGCCAAGAGAAGAGAGTGTTAAGGAGTCAAAGAATCAAATGACACATATTATGTTGTGGAGGATGAGGACAGAGAAACAAATGTTTAAATTTGTTTTTTAGAGGTAATTTTAACAGAATGATGGGGGCAGAAGATAAATTACAAAGGGTTAAATGGGCAGAACGACAAGCCCCAAAACAAGCCAGTATCTTGAAAAAGAGAAACAATGCTAAATTAAGAGACTTAAGAGACATAACACTCTGATACAAAATCTGATCCTAGATTGACTATTGTTGTAGACAAACTAGCTGTAAAAGATGTTTTGGGGACAGTTGGAAAACATAGATAAAGACTGGGTATTCCTTAAGGTACAATCTTACTGTGTAATATGGAGACTGCTAACTGACAAAAGAAAATGTTTATAAAACAATATGTATTTACAACCACGTT